GCCGTCCCTCGCGCCGCGTCGGGGGCGGGGCTTGGGGGCCGTGATGAATGGAAGGCGGGAGGGGGGCGGTTCGCTGGGCTGCCAGCCGCGTGGGACGAGGGTGGGCTTGGATTCTGTGCCGCCAAATCAGCGTCGACTCTTAGCAAGCATGCGCAGTAGATTTTCTCCGTCCCCCACCTGGTCCTTCAGGTCTTCCAAGGGTGCCCCCATCTGCACTGTAACTGAGTCCCTCCACCTTTCTGCTGGTGGCCTCTTCTCCTCTCTCCTTTCATCAGCATCAGAGCCTTCTCCACGGAGCTGGGTCTTTGCATCATGTCTCCAAAGTAGGATCATTTGAGGTTGGTCATTGATGCCTTGAGTGAGAACTTGGGCCTGATTGGTTTGATGATCCATCAGTTTGTTTTCTTGGCTGTCCATGGTCTTCTCAGGAGTCTTTTCTAACACCGAGGTTCAACACTCTTGCTATGCCGCTTCTTCAAAGTCCAGCTTTTGCTTCCATAGAGGGTCATGGGGAATGCCATGATGTGCATGATTCTGATTTTTGTAGGTGTAGACAGGTCACAGCATCCCTACATTCAGTGTAGGGACCCCAACAATGGCTGAATCCAGGAAGCACGTTGAGTGTGTTGAGCAAAACCACCAGTCTTAACATGCTTTTCTCCTGCTTTGATGTCCTCCATGTATATTGGTCTGTCTGTAACCATCTCCAACCAGGCTGGGCTGGGATTGATGGGGGCTGTAGTTCAGTGAGTGAGAGGGGCGGAGAGGGGCACAAGGTTGGATTAGATAAAACCGATAATCAAATCTTAAATACACATGTTCTTACTCTCAGGCCTGGCTGGAAGTGGTGAGAGGAGGAATGCAAGGTCACCCTTATGAGAATACATTGGCAAAATAATAATAAATATATAACACTACTGTAGTAATTTCATTAAAGCTAAATAAAAAAGTTACTCAACAGTTAAAGAACCTAGTTCTGTTGAGGAAGAAGATATTACCAAAATTGGCATTGATTTATTTATGTAGAATGTAACTGCTGGGAACAATTTTTGTTCGAGGGGGGGATACAAATGTAATGAATAGTAAATAAATAAGTATACGTAAGCATTTATCCTTGCTCTGCTGTTTTGCATACAAGAAATCTCAGTTTTAATCTCCAAATATGCCCAGGTTAGCAAATATTCCTATCTGGAAACTCAATTTAGTGTCGACTAGCCTTCTCAACTTGGAGTCCTCCAGAAGTGTTGGATTATAACATCCATCACTCCAACCCAACATATGATAGAAATTTTAAGTTTTAGACATCTGGAGGGCAGTTTTAGATAGCCCTTTCGGTGTTGTTTCTATCTGTTTGAGGTCGTTTTGATGAAATCAGCAAATATGTCAGAGATAAAGATGGGGGATGCAGGGAGAACAAGGGGCAGATCCCTTTTTTTCTTTTGTTGAACATTTCCTCTTTTCTCAAATTCTTTATGCAAGGCTCACCAAGAGATAGAGGCTGCCCAGGAGCAGTTAAAGTACTGTTCCTTTCCTCTGCTTCCTGTTGAATCTCAATCCTGTAAGTTACAGAAATGAACATTCTGCACTTTCCAAATTGTGTTTTAGCACTTAAAGGACATCAAAGCCCAGTGACTCAGAAATTGACAACCTGTGTCAGTCCGTGAAGACCTTAAGATGAAAGCTCGTAAAAAGAGCAAAAGCAAGCAGCAGACAGGAACTGGAAGGGTGCAAATATGCTGCGATCTGAGACCATTGTGAACACTTACACAGGGAACAGCAGGCAGTAATGACAATTAATTATTTAAGAAAAGCTGAAGGCATTAGCGCAGGCTGAGAGGAAAAAAGGGATTTGGAAACATCACTCTGGGATCCTTCAGTTGGAGGCTCATTAATTAGTATGCTGTGTGAAGGAAAGAGAAGTCTGCAGTCATTTTATGTTCATCTGAGGAGGGAGATTTGCAATTAAGGCATCTGTTTATCTTTTATAACTGACCAAGAGGCCTTTTGAAGGCGTTACAGGCTTAATACACTTTTTAAAACATGCCATATGTTCTGCTTTGTCCCTGTTTAGCAGATTATGTAATTGCTTAAGGACAGGACCCTGCTCACCATTAGAAAGTGCTCAACAACAAAAACAGGCATCAGAGTTATGCACAGTTGAATGGCTCACATTTAAAACAAAGTGATGTTTGAAGTTGATGTCTGAATTCTGAAGCCAACAAGTTGCTTCCATGCTTTCAAGGCCCATGAAAACTTAAACTACATCTTTGTGTGTGCTTCCCTTTCAGGGAATGTGCATAGAACTCCAGCATTAGACAATGCATAATATACACCTCTCAGATAATTAGTACTTGGCTTTGGATAAACACTAAATATCTGATTATTGGAGGGAAACTTTTAAGGCAAATTGTTATGAAGCTATAAAATCAGATTGGTGCTTCTTTGATTTTTTAAAAAAATCTCAATTAAATGGTGGCATTCTAACATTTAATATTGAGATCAGTGTTTTCAGCACTATGTCAAACAATCTTATTTTACATTTTACTTTAACACCAAGTATTATACATAAATATTGAAAAAAAAAATAGGGAAAAGAGGCTAGTAGAATAAAGCAAATGAACTACTTCAGAGCTAGGAATTCCATTGATTGGGGCTGAAACCAGAATTTTATGAGAATGACCAGGTTACAGCAAAGTGCAGGGACAGCAAAGAGTGAAACAGATGAGAAGCATTTCATCAAGCAAGGCAGGGGAAAAAACTGAGTAGTAGAGGAAAGGACAGAAAACTGTTAACAAAGTACAGTTCCTTCTAACCAATTTTCAGCCACAAAATTGCCTGTACATTCAGAAATCCAGAAAGAGGCGGGGTTCCTATTTTTCCTAGACTGTCATGCTAGCAAACAACTAATTCAGTATTAAAATATCCAATTGGACAATTATTTTTAACAGTTTTTGGAAATGACGTAATTTAGAGGGCTTATAGAGAGGATTTAAAAAAGGGATTAGAATGCCCAATGGCTACATTAAGACTCCTTATGCCTTATTTATCACCACTTTAAGCAACACTTGCAAACATTCCAAATGCTGAAGCAAAAAATAAAATAAAACCTACTATTATCTTCCCACAAAATACATTCAAAATCGTATGCCATGTTTGAAAGCCCTGGGGTTATCAAAGGACAGGAGTAAGGGAGAAATATCAATGGACAATGAAGATAAAATGCATTTCCCAGTGATGATTTATTAAAGTGAGATGAACAGTGTGCAAAAGGAGGGGAATAAATGCAAATATCTGATTGAAACGAGCTCAGTCACCTGTTTAAAGCTGGTGTGACAGTTAGGCTGGCTCAAGGCACAGGACTGCACCTGCACAAAGCTTGCCTTCTGCAGGGAACAGACAAATTCCCTAATCATCAGTAATGAGGCTGTTCCAGACAGTTGGTCTGCATAGGCTATTATTCAGCCATCGCAACAGGAACAGTCTTACTCTAGAAAGTGATGTGCTGAATATTTTCCTGCCAGTCTAGGAGACTTACTTTCCCCATTGCCCTTTTTAACGCATCATGTTAAACCATGGTTCAGTTAACTGTACTTTGTTGACCAAGCCACAGGTGACAGGCGTTTACACAATCTATTAAGCAAAACACCAAATCAACCAGAGCGTGACTTAGTGTGATGTATGAACTGGGTTTCCCTTTTGGGGGGGGGCTTCTGGGGCATGGATGCCTTCCCCACAAAGGGTGCTGGGGTAGTACCGCAGTTTTGCCTGTCTCCTCTCTTTTCTTACAACGCTTTTGGACCCTGAACAGCCCAAACGCCTCACTAGAATTGCAGCCAACTGAGATGTCTGTAGATCAGGCACACTGCGATAGAAAAAGCAGCATTGCTTTATTATTTCCCTCTTGTGATTGCAGGTTATAGGGGACCCATTAAGAAAACAAGAGCACCCCATGGTGTTTTTGCCACATTAATACCAGCAATTGACTTTCTTTGTCTACGGAATATGTCAGACGTTGATATCTATCACTAAGCAAAAGTTTTTCATTAGTGTTAAGGAACCAGACAATTCTATTATCCTGCCATTTATGGTTTGGCTCACTTATTCAAGTCATCCAATGACTGACGTCCAATCCAGAAGTACGCATGAGTATTTCCCATTAAGGGCGCCTTGGGCAAGTTGGTCCTAAGTTGGGTGTCCCTGATTGTTAATTGTTAAATGTTAATAATGCTGTTGCATTATGGTTCTCTGGATTATATAAGGGAGAATCAGGTTAAGCAAAGCTACAATATGCAACAGCACCTTTTTAGCAGTACACGGACATTTGCAAGGTAGGCAAATACAATCACTGTCTTTGTTCCTATTTTAATTAGAGGAAGATTTTCTCAACTGCTATTCAGCAGGTTTATTTGGAAGTTGTTGAAGGCAGTCGATAGATGTGATGATAGTGACATTTTGCTTTTGAGTGGGCTAGCATACTCCTTGGGGCAGAAATCAAGGAAGACATATTTAGTTGATGATAGTTTTCCAATCGACTCATTTTCTGAGGTTCAAGGCAAGCAGTTTTGAAAATGTAATATATTCATACTGTTAGTTAATTCAAACGAAAAATCTTCATACCAAAATCAACAGTTTGAGTGAGAATTAATCTAGGAAGATCCCAGTGCGCCCCTGAGCTAACAAGGGCTGTGCATAGCAATCTCCATTCAGGAGCAGCACAGGCCAAGGAGGGCTCCCTATGTCCCCTTATTTCTACTGAAGACACTGTTTCGTGTTGCCATCAGAACATATAGGAAGAACAATAGCTTATAGTCTGTAACACTACAAGTTACCAAAGGAGGCCAGAGGCCCAGCATCTTTCTGCTGCTTCCAGCTGTGCTCACTGTCATTCCAATACACAAAGTTAAACTGGCCCAGAAAATTCCTTACAGGGAGGCTATTGTTTGCCAGTTGCCTCTTTGCAGTACAACAGTACCCAGTCACCTCAAAAGGGGAGCTGACAGCGTAGGAGAATAGGCTGCTTGTAGCCAATCTTGGATTTTACAGAGGCATGATTTCCACCAAATGCTGCTACATTCCACAACCCCCCCCATTCCCAGCTTAAAAAAAAATGGGTCAGTTAAATTTGACCAAATTTCTGCAAGCAGTTAAACATATGCAGTTGTTGAGATTGAATGGCTGTTAAAAGAAATGGCTTTCTCTCATGGCATGCAACAACTTTACTAGACAATGTGCATCTCAAAGACAAAGAAGGCAAGGGAGCCAATCTGTCATATTTGGTCAAAAGTTGACAATAACAGCAAACTAGGATAGAACGTTTTTGTTCTTTTAGAAAGTACCTCAGTGTTTCAGCCTCAAAATGTGCGTTGCTGACTTTGAAAAGGCTACCTTTAGGACCTGTTTGCTTTCGAGTAACTCACCGTTAGAACGACAAATATTACAAAAGATTTGTAAGAAACACACAAATACAACACATGGTTAAAAAGAACAGTCCAATGCTACTAGTCTCAAAAAAAAAAAAAGTCTTCATTGCTTTGATTTTTCTACCTCAAAACTTGCCAGAGCGAAGACTTTATCCCCAGATCCTGTTGTTAAAGGAAAACAAGCAAGCAAACAAGTTAAAACTTTCTATTAGTGTTACTTCTTTAACAGCAATCTACCTGACGTAGGATGTAAGCAACTTCCTTTATGTTCTATTTTGACCCTAAAATACACCTGGCAACATTTAAACACCAATTAAGCTTTGAAGCAGGCTCCCCTGGCTGGATGGTTTTCCTGCAAGTCCGATCAGGCCCAACTAGCATGGCAAATGGTCAGAGGATGATGGGAACTGTAGTCTAAAATATCCAGGGGGTCCCAGGTCAGGAAGACTATTCCAAAGGCTGTCTTCTCCAACGTACATTTGCTATTATATACGTATTCAGCAAGGAGTGTGATAATGATGAATGCAGCAAGCAGGATGTCCATAGTGCCCAAACCTTCTAAATATGGGATAATATTATAATATTATTGTGAGCCGCCCAGAGTCACCCACTGGGGGAGATGGGCGGCATACAAATTTGAAAATAAATAAATAAATAAAAATAATGTCCAGGACAGACATGATGGAAGAGATAAAGGGGAGGAGAACTCAGTAACAACCACCTTGTTATTCCTTTGCATGAGATGGAAGCTCCATTTGAGAGAGGCTCTTGGCGATTAAGAAATAAAATAGCAATAGGTTGGCTCCAGAGTTAAGCGGAGGTATGGGAACAACAGCTGAGAGCATCATTGCTTGCATGGTGATTAAGACCGGCCATGGGATTGACCCAGTAGGGCTCGACTTTTGTAACAATACAGGACCCTTGCAAAAAGCAGGCAGTGGCTGGAATCTAAGAGTGGCCAGGACTTGTGATAGTCACTCAGAATAAAATCACTCTCAACAGATTCCATTTTGTTGTGCACGTAAGTGGCCCCTCCCTGCCTACTGACCCTAAGTGAGAGAAGTGTAGACACAAGCTAAACCCCCTTTATATGCTCTTAACTGACATTTGGAATGAGAAGTGGCTGTTTCCTCCTCCAGGGTGTGGGACTGACACTCCTGAGCCATGAAGGAGAAGTGGCTAGAAGATAAACCGAAAAAGGAAAGAATCTTACCGAGATCAGTTGAGACCTTCTCAAACTGGCTGAGAGCAGTTCCTGCATTCGTTGAAAGGAAAGTTTCATCGCTGGGGGTCAACTGAAAATAAAGAGAAGGAGAACAAGGCTGACTGTATCACATTGATATGTAATCTCTGATGTGATTCAATCATCTGTGATTTAATGGATTCAGTAGATGGAAACAAGAATGCTTTAAGGCTTAAAGCATTCTTGTTTCCATCTGCTGAATCCATTAAATCACAGACATGTTAATCACATCAGAGATACCATATAAATGCGAACAGCTTAAAGTTTAAGCTGTTAATAATGCCATCAAATGCTTTAAATGGGATGAAGAGAGAAACTTCAATACTGTAAGGGACTTTATGCAGAAAACAAGGAAGAGTAGGAAATTGCCATATTAAATGTAATAGTAAAATAATGGGATTTTATATTACACAATACACATGAAAGTAGTTAATTATCTTACTGTCTAGGGCACAACTTCCCCTTCAAGATAGAGTACACTCTAAGGTTTCATAAAGCAGAAAGGTCGAGCGTAATAAAATAATCAACTAATCAAAGCTACATTAAAACCTCCTTAACATTGCTCTGTTCAATTACAGTATCAAAAGCAATTAATGCAAAAAGAAAAGGCCTGTTTTAACTGAGTCCACCCAAAATAAGACCTGCTCCCAGCCTGTATGGAATTCCAGGGGAGGAGTGGGTGGCAGGTTAAACAAGTTACCTTTTCTCCCAGCTTCCGGAGAGCAGTGAGGATTTCTACCTTCTGCTGAGTGTAGAGGTCCCGTCCCAGTTTTCCCACGATCAGATCTCTGTCCATCTAAGCAGGGAAGGGAAGGGAAGGGAAGGGAAGGGGAGCAGTCACACGGTCTCCAATTACATATGTGACGTTTGCAGAGAAAGATGGTCTGCACCTGTGACTTGGAATCAGTTATACCCAAGAGGGCTAGGAAGCTCGCCTGGGGGATTTTCGCTTTGCACCAATGTGGCTCTTGGCTTCAAGAATCTCCTCCACCCTGATGTCATTCTCTGAGTAAGAACACAAAAGGTTGCAATTTCTTCTTCCTTAGTGTGAACGGCAACCACTTGTGAGTACGTTCGAGCCAACACATATGGACCAAATCAGGCAAAACTCTGTATACCAGTGCAAGATTTAAACACAATAACTTATGCAAAAAGTACATTTCTTTAATCATTTTTAACCATGGAAGGGTTCCCAGAGTATACCAATCTATAAACAAATAAGATAAAAACGGGATGGGGAAATAAAATGAAACATGTCAACTGGGGCCTCAATTCTCAAAATGAAAGCATTCTACATTTGTATCAGTTTTGCCAAAAATATATTTTGCTTCTCAGAAGGAAAGTGATAACTCTCTTAATGTCCTCAATTTACACACAGTAAAAAATACCCAGTTTGTTTATAAAAAAAGAAACATCTTCACCTCAGCCAATCTTGTCCGCAACTGCCCAGGCTGTTTTTTGGCAAACATCCTGATGACTTCTGGAGTTTTAAAAGCCTGGCTGATGGCTGCTTGTATAGCCTAAAAGATAAAATGTAAATAGTTTGTAGCAAATATCAATAGTCAAGGTTACTTCTTGTTACATAGTCATAAACATTATCATGAATTATTTCTGTGGCTAGCAAGGGGCACGCGATCTCTAAGAAGCTCCTTTACTATCAGCACACGGGATGCTTCCTGTTAATTAGTCACTTAAAAAGCAGCCAACTTTTGCACTTTTGAAACATTCATTTGTGAAACCAGAGCACTGCATACTTTGGGCATTTGTGTTTAGTAAACAAGTTATTAATGCAACCGGGGCTCCTGAAATATTAAGGCAGGAAAAAAGAATCTAGTATTACCTAGAGTTTAGAACAAGAGTTGGGCTGCAGCAAGTTAACATGCCTTCCATAGTCATTATTATGATTACAACTAATATTATTGCTCATATTAGTTGCATAATCTTGCTGTACTAAACTTGTCAATCCCGCTAACTAAGCTACATCAATACTAGAGCACTCTGTCATTTGCACCGTCTATCCCCTGCAAGATGGGGAAACGTGTTGCAAATTCCTTGACTCTGCAAGGTCAGCTGCTTCTAAGGGACAAGGCTCAGTCACTCTTTTCTACGGGTGACAGAGTTTACGGTTGCAGTGAAGAAGGCTTACGGTATCCCTCCCCAAAAGGAGGATGTCTAGAAAGGTGGAGTCACCCACTGGAGAAGACATTTGACATACTGCCCCAGAAACCATGCCAAATACTCACCAGCTGCATCCCACCAAGCTCGTCGACCAAGGTCATATTGCCAGATATAATTTTTTTCAAGGAATCGTTGAACTCGCTCAGCTGCTCAAGCGTTTCCTTCTTGGTTTCTTCATACTCGCTGGCATCCAGTTCATCTCTGAATGGGAACCAACTGATTAATCATGGTATGACTTTACCAGCAGTTAGCATTCAATTAGCATATTTCCAACCAAGGGTAACTAACCTACCTATACTAAGATCAGGTAACCTGAGGCAGCAAAGGTTGCCTCTTTGCAGCCCCAGAGAATACTTGGCTATGCCTACTGCAAATGGTAGTTTTAAGCTGGAAAACACAAAATTGTAGTACACACCCTTAAAAATCATTTAACAAATCAATGAATCCCTTCAAGCTTGCACAAAAAATCTCAAGACCCCTCTCCAAAATCCTGGCTCTCATCGCTCATTTGCTGCAGTCCCAACCAATCCAAAAAGCCTTAAGAGTGGTTTCTGGCTTTCAAAAAATTGCTTATCCCAACCTATATGATGGGACCATTCATCGCTTTCAAGTGAAAATTGCTCTCCAAGGCCTTTCTAAATTTCCCATCCAAGATTCTTTTCAGCTTACAATAGAACCTTTTATATGCAAAGAATAAACTGTTCTATTGGGCCATGGCTTTAATTGGGCAGCAGGCTGACATTTTCATTTCTTAATAACTAAAAGCAAGTGTCTAAGTAAGCTGTCTCCAAGAATCCAAGGCATTAAACAAATACAGTAAATGTGCATGTCCGTAATTACTTGGCTCAGATAGAGAGAGAGGGAGGAGAGGAGAGAAATGATGGTAGAACAGTCCCCTAGTTCCAAGTGGCACAAAAACTGCTGGCGCTGAAAATGTTGCAGTTGGGAGAAAACCTTAATTATTACTTATGGAGACATGGAGCCTGAAGCTATCACCTTTCTTCCTTCTGTGTCCATTGTTACAAGCTGGGATCAGGGGCTTTGCTACTACAAACCTGTGTAACCTACTGTGAGATTGTATTTTAGGGGTGAAGATGATTGCAGCAAATAAATATTTGGTGCCAAAGCTAATTTGGCGCCAATCGTTGAGGAACACAGCAAAATGACTGCTTCCATGTTCACGTGGGCCTTACTCAGGAGGTATCTGGTTGAACGGGACGCTTTGCGGCCTACCCATAATGCTTCACAAAAGCAGCATGCTAATGAGCAAGTTACGCCAAGCAGTGTCATTGCAAGAGCACATTCAAGGACATCTTTTGTTGTTCAGTTGTTAAGTCGTGTCTGACTCTTCATGACCCCATGAACCATATTGCGCCAGGCCTTCCTGTCCTTTCAAGGACATCTAGAAAGGTCTATATATACACACACCCCATACGCATCATGGCATTCACGCTTCAGGGTTGAAAGGAAAACTCTGACATTTGCCCCGTGCCATCTAACACTTGGCAAGGATCCTTAACGGACCAGGCCCCTTCGGGAGGACGCCGTTCCTCACCTGCACTCCTCCAGATCCTGCAGCTGCTGCATCAGCCTGTCCAGCTGCTCTTCCAAGTTCTGCTTCAGCTTGCTGGTCTCCATTGTTCCCCTCGAAGCCATTTTAAGTCACGTGCAACAGACATCTGCGAGAGACAAAGCAGCATTGCGGTGACCCACTCAGTTATAGGGGAGAACCCCGCCATAGCGCCATACGTTGAAACTGCCTCTTTACTTGGAAGAAAAAAAAATGAGAAGGGGTGCAGTTTAGCATTTTATTTAGATAACAAAGATCAGAACAGCGTTCTGGTAGCTCTGGAGTAAAATCTCTCTTTCCTCTCCCTGAAGGGCATTTGAGGCCAAGAAAAATATATTGCCAGGACTGATGGATGCATCCCAGTTACTGACTTTTTATTTTAACAGCTTAAGGTTTACAGCCTCGGGTCTGGGCATTCGACGAAGGGGGCGGAGGTCCCCTCCGGGGCTTCCAGTCGCTGATTGCAACTGCAACGCAGTCGAAGCCCTCGCGGTGCCACCGACCCCCTTCCTTCCTGGCGACCCCCCAATCCACATTGGCCCCCCCGCCCGCATTGCCACGAGCTGGCCTCGCCTCGCGAGCCCCCTCCCTTACCCAAGCGCACTCCTTCCGCTCCAACCTCCAGGGTGGATAAAAGGTCGAACCCCGCCCACTCCCTCGATCACATCTTTTCTCTGGCAGCGGGACGCTATTCCGGGGCGGACCGGCCCCTCCCACTTCCGGTTTGGAAGCGGTGGGGGAACCGCTCTCGGGGCGGACAGGGCTCCACTTCCGGATCGTGGGGCCAATCGGAGGGCCGCTCTCGGTCGCGACGCTCGTCCCCCTGCTCGCTGCTTCCCCGCGTACTTCGGTGGCGGGCTTCAGCCGTCGTCGCCGCCGTCCTCGCTCGAGGGGAGGCTCCTCGCCGCCTGGTAAGACCCCTGTCGGGAGCCTC